AATAGTGACATCCTGAAGAGCCTTGGAATACAGCCTTTGCTTCTCCAGATTGAGAAGTCACAGCTGCGATTGCTTGGGCATGTTGTGCGAATGCCTCCAGAAAGGAAGGCTAAGCAACCGTTCCTTACAAATCCGACCGGCAAAAGGCCCAGGGGACGGTCAAGATTAATCTGGTGCAAACATATGGAAGGAATCCGTTCCAGGCTGCATTTGTCTTTTGCTGAAGCTGAGAGTCTGGCACAGGATCGGGAACGTTGGAAGCACTGTCTGGCGCGTCTGCCTCCGCGACCCGAAGGGAGAAGCGGGCGGCGATGGAAGATGAAGATGAAGATGAATATACATATTGCAGCTGTTAGAATTGTTGTAGACGAATCATCGTTCATCATATTGTCTCCGTAAATCTTTTGAAATTATTCTCTGTTCTTTGAAGTGATCTATGTCCTTCTGGTTCCTTAACAGGACTTTCTGATAAAGCAGCATAACTGAACGAAGGTGCAGTTATGAAGGGAAAAGTCAGAAACAGTTTGAGCCTTTTCTTTGTTTCGGCTTACTGAAGACGAACCTTTAGGATCTTCAAATGCAGTTGTGATTTTGAATTCATAGCGAATAGTCAAAATGTTTCGCTGCTTTTATGATCTGATCGCAGTCCAGTCCACCGGCTCATTTTCATCAATGTTACTTGTCGATGTTTTCGTCAGATTAGCTGAATGTAGAACTTTAGAGATCTTGCAACGTTGAGCTTCATATATTACGGCACTAGCGTAGACAGAGTAATTCAAAATTGCTTCCGTAGAAAAGAGAGTTTCCTGTGTAGGAGGTTATCGTCACGCTCTGTTTAATTGATAGGAACCCTCTCTCTCGTCATGTAAAAGATTCTCAGTATCGCGTTAGCCGATTTTACGGGCATATCAGAGGTGCTTATATACCGAAACAAACATGGTTCGACTGTTTACTTGCAGCCAGCTAGTATTCATTGATAGCGAGTTGTTGACTTAGAGTCCCAGACTGAAGGGCGAATGGTCGATTGCGAACAAATTACGTAGTTGGAGAAACTAAATGAAGCCTTGATATCGATATTGAGTATTTAATTCTCGCTAATATCAAAAGCATATCGCTTTACGTTAGATTGTTAGTAGAAAATAACTGCTGATACTGAAGATTCTTTGGATTAGGATTCCTGAAAACTTTATCGCGAGCTTTCGCCGTCAGCCCAATTTACAGTATGAGTTAGAGCAGTAGACAGTTTCTGTCAGTTTTATGAATTTCCTTCTGTTACATTGTTTCTCTAGCATAGATAAACTACCTTTATCTGCATGTCTTGTAGAGCTGGCTTCAAAGTTGTCGACACCAAAAGAAAATTCAGTGCATAGTGAATTGGACGAAAGCAAGAGCGTGATTGAACTACAAAATACCTTGCGACAGAAGTTCATGACAATGCAGGAAGACCTTGCGCAGTTGAATAAGCTGATCAACGAACTTACGAAATCCGCCGATTCCGACGGTCTGTTTTCCATTCCTAGGGTTCAGCTACTATGGAAAAAGGTGAAGGAAATGAATTTACCGGAACGT